ATTCTACTTCATTTTTTTTTTATTTTGTCACTTTCAGCTCTAAATATCGACATGGCATATAGAAAACGGTTTAGTTGTAAGTCTATTAGCTGTCGAATCTCAACATAAGGCGAATTCTATTTCATTTTTTATTTAATTTTTTTCACTTTCAGTTCTAAATATCGACATAATAAATCGACATGGCATATAAAAAATGCATAGACAATATTTAGAAAGGAAGTATTGCAAAACATCGTCAGTAGAATTTCCCAGACACGACACATTGGAATACTTATACAGCGGAAGGCAGAATGGGGGGGGGGGGGGAGAGAGAAAGAGCGACCACATGTACGCAATCAGCGTCAGATTTCTGAAAGATGACACCTTCACACGTAGATTGATCAAAACATGTGCATGTTATTGCATCATACATCGACGTAACCAACACGAATTATGCACGGAATTAACATTTAAAAATCAATATCATTGACACTGCCATATATCAACACGAATATATCATCTACGTTTTCCATAATTCCATAAAATGATCAGAATTCGTCAGAGGTGTAGCGACGGGGGGGGGGGGGTACAGTTATCCCCGTGCGCCGACCATAGGGGGCGCCAAAATGGGTTAGAAAAAAATTACAAGCTCATTTTAGCTGCACTTTTGCATTATAAATATAAAAATATATGGGGGGACGGGGGACGGACCAAATTGAAAGTTTGTCCCCGGGTGCCGAGAAGGGTCGCTACGCCTCTGGAATTCATATGCATTGAAAAAAAAACTTATTACCGTTTATTACAACCCCCCTCCCCTCCCCTCACACACTCACTCACATCATTCCCTCACCCCACCCCACCTTAACCCCCAACTCCCACACTTTCAACACGATACTGCACGTTTCAAGTAAACTACGATCAAAAACCCCAGGATCTCCAGTCGCCACTTGCTACTAATTTAAGATCCCTTACAAGTGTATCAGCTGGACGCCTTGTGTACGCTACACGCCAAGGCTTCTTCTAGGTGGAACGTCTTCGGTTGGTTCAACTGGGGCGTACAAGTAGACTGCTGGTCTAGTTGCTGTCGAGAGCTAGGTCGTTTAGACGGTAAGGTATGGGGCATACAAGTATACTGCTGGTCTAATTGTTGAGTAGTTTGGTCGTTTAGACGGTAAAGTATGGGGCATACAAGTAGGCCTATACTGCTGGTCTATTTGTTGAGTAGTTTGATAGTTTAGACGGTAAAGTATAAGGGATACAAGTATACCTGCTTGTTAAGTAGTTTGGCCGTTTAGAATGTAAGGCATGGGGCATACAAGTATACTGCTGGTTTAGTTGCTGAGTAATTTGGTCGTTTAGACGGTAAAGTATGGGGCATACAAGTATACTGTTGATCTATTTGTTGAGTATTTTGGTCGTTTAGACGGTAAAGTATAGGGAATACAAGTATAGGCATACTGCTGGTCTAATTGTTGAGTAGTTTAGTCGTTTAGACGGTAAGGTATGGGTAATACATGCTGGTCTAATTGTTGAGTAGTTTGGTCGGTTAGAATGTAAAGCATGGGGAATACAAGTATACTGTTCGTTTTTTTTTGTAGAGTAGAGTGTTTGGTCATTTAGTAAGACGTGGGGCATATAAGTATACTGTTCTGATATTTGCTGAGTCGATAATTTGGTCGATTAGGATGTAAAACATGGGGCACAAAAGTATACTGCTGGTCTATTTACTGAGTAGATAGTTTGGTCGCTTAGGGTAATGCTGAGTCCACAGGTTACAGTTGCTTAGGCCGCAAGACATGGATCGTATGGGGATTCTGATAGCCTAAGCTGAATGGCTACTGTGAACTTGATTAGGAACAGAGAGACAGACGGACGGGAGGAAGGACGGACGGACAGACTGACAGACGCAGACAGAGACAGAAACAGAAACAGAGACAGACAGACAGACTGACAGGTAGGCAGGCAGACAGACAGACAGACAGACAGACAGACAGACAAACAGACAGACAGACAGACAGACAGACAAACAGACAGACAGACAGACAGACAGACAGACAGACAGACAGACAGACAGACAGACAGACAGACAGACAGAAGGGCGTAGGGACGGACAGACAATTCTTTGATTCCACCTATTTTATTCTATGCACAAGCAAAGTTCATCTGTGAATCTCAACAAGGGCCGTTCAAGCTTCAAATTTACCATCCCAATCTATCCATCATCGCTCACGCATACAACCGTGCCTTAAACGCACGAATTTTTTTTTTTTGAGCTTTACCTACTCGATCTACCTCCATAGACGGGGCTTCCTCTATGGCAAAACAATAACGCGGCGTGTGAACTAGCAGCCCGACCCGTACACGTACCGAAAACGTACGGGGCAGCTGGATTTTTTATAAGCTGTTTGAAGCCTACGTGAAAACAAGGCGTCGGTTTGTTTGAACTTGTAAGTCTGCGCTCCCACCCCCCCCCCCCTGAGACGTATGGCGATAAATACCACATGGAGGTACTCACCCCGGGCTTGTTTGCCTTTATGGTGGGTAGATAATTAGGTCAAGGGGTGACCTCCAAGCATTCTTTCGTACTTATACGGTGCGGGTTATAACTTAGCAGGATTCGCGGTTTGGACACGATGTACTTATTGAACAGCGACTTGAATGGTAATAAATCGTATGTTAGATCTTGTTAGAACTTGTTATATATATATATATATATATATATATATATATATATATATATATATATATATATATATATATATATATATATATATATATATGTAGGCCCTATATAATTTTGCATATTGCATTTTAAAGGGACTGAACATGTTGACAGATGGGACGGTGTGGTCTAACCAGTAGAGAGTTAGGTTGCTAACCCGAGATTCTCTAGTTCAAATTCGGGTCCAAGTCAGTAGAACGTCCCTGAGTCCACCTAACTCTGATGGGTAGGCCTACCCTACCTAACTCATGTTAGGGAAAGTAAATATGGGAAAGTAAAGACCACACCTTCCCTTCATATGCCGAGGTCAAGAAACATATGAACTCTACTTCATCTGCCCAATGGATCGTTAGGTGTAAAGAGGATTCTTTCCTCTAACAAGTGGACATAAACAACGACCAAGGCCAAGTAGTGGTGCCCTAACCCCCCCCCCCCCCTCTTCCCCGCATGTCCTTATCCACTACCATTAACATGCCAAACACAGATAAGGGGCGAATAGTAGGACTGTAAAGAGCTCCTTACTCCCACACCTGTGAAAGTGATTTGTCCAACCTCGTTAGATACAAGTTACCCTGTGGTCATACCCCCACCCACCAATAGTAGATAGAGCGGGGGGGGCTCTCTTTGACCCCCCCCCCCCTTACGTTTTCTCCCTTTCATTCAGTGCTGTCACGTTAGAACATAAAAACAAACATGGGTGTTTCAGGTGGGGCTTGTTATCTCCCCAATGTAAGTGGCCACTCCGTAGTGATCGTGGACGCAATAAATCTTGGAGAGAGAGTATAGCGAAGGTCAAAGGTGACGACCATAAGAAAACAAGGCGAAGAGCTCTCCTGTGTTGACACTATTAGCATATTTAATCTCTCAACACTCGAGCTTGTATATCAACAAACCTCTACCATGCTTATGTCTGTTTTTAGAAGAAGAAGAAAAATAATCAATTTTGCTGTTTCAGCTATTTTAAAGTATCCAAAAAAATGTCTTCCAAAAATACATTGTTTACAAAAAATGCTAATTTAATAGGAGAAATGAAACACATTTTCTATAGTTAATGAACAATTTTAGTATAAATGTATAATGAATTAATGTATAAGTTGAGATTACTCAGATTAATAACATTAAATGTGAATGAAATCAAAATCTTGAGTATAAGAAAGATAACTCAACACACATTATTTCATCGAGTGGACTAAAACACATATATATATTTATTATATATGTGCACATAAGATGGCTAGACAGAGTTGGATTCTTAATTATAAAAAATATTCAACAACCGTTATAGTTTAATCTATTTTCATCAGAGAAGAATTCATTCTTTTAAAAATAAGTGTGTATTCTCATTCTTATGGTGCAAACTTTATTCAAACTTATCAGTGCAAGTTATAGAACGGCAGTGGAAACTTTGGTATAGAAAAAAAAACCGTATGCAAGGTACTCGCGGTCCGGCTCTGGCCTGCAAACAACTAGTTGTACCCAGTGGCGTAGCGAGGTCGGGTGTCACCCGGTGCGGCACTTAATGGTGTCACCCCCCCCCCCCCCAGAGGCGTAGCGACCCTTCCCGGGGACAAACTTTCAATTTTCGATTTGAACACCCCCCCCACACTCAAATTTTTCTCTATATATTTTGCTATTTTTTGCCTAGGTATCACCCCCCTAAATGGTGTCACCCGGTGCAGTCCTTACCCCTCCCCCCCCCCCTCGCTACGCCTCTGGTTGTACCATATTTCAATCCTTGTAAAAACATAGCACGCGCTATTGTAGAACTGTAGACATTGTGGAGATGGGGTAAGGATAGTGAGACCGGACTGGAGGGGGGGGGGGGAGGCGGTGGTAGTGTAAAATACTAGAAGGACGATCTACCTCTTATGAATCAAGGTAACAGATATACCTTTTGACACCCCTAGATCTATAAGCCATTTAGTTTAACTTTTCAGGAGGAAATACAACATTGACTGTATGGTAAAATATATTTTTAAAAGTTGGACCTCCATGTCTAAAGTATGAAAGTACGGATCATTTATCTCATCAGTCATATTAATGGAGATATTTTAATTGAGAGCAGTATTATAATTTCAATTAGGATTCTATTGATAGGCTTTGGTTTGGGTTTAAAATAACAGAAGTATTGATATTAGGACATGATATTAGTTAAAATTTTACTAGTAATAGCATCCAAACATCCATTTTATGTCATTATATTGGCATTAGTGTAACAAATGTACTGAAAGTATTGTATACTCTTGAATAATGTGAGATAACCTTTTTTCGATTATGAAGTAATATTTTTTCTACTTACGTAAATCGACTTGAATGACCTATTGTAAAAGATAATGGGCTCGTCCAGACGAATCTCGCCCGAACTGATGTCATCTCCAGCTTCCAAATAGGGATCCTCACGATTTATACCGTAGGGGTAAAAATTTTCTTCGCTCACGGCTTCAAGGCGCGCCAGGAAACAACATGCCAGGATCGAAACCAGCCAAGACATGGTGTAATTTTTTTTTTTGTACTCACTCAACGTTTACAAAATCCAGAAATTTATTAAATTCCAGTCAGAAAAATAAGCAACTTAATCTTAGAACATTATGGATTTATACCCTAAATAAATGTTCTTTAATTTAGTAGTGAAAGTTTTTTAATACTTAGAAAGAAGGCCTATAGTGGCTTATATGTTAAATACCTAAAGACGAAATAGAAATAATTAACTGTATCTTTAAGTCGTTTAACCTGAATACCTAAACTAAACAAGCCAACGCTGATTTTAATCAGGCCTGCACGTTTTTACGCTAAGAAAAAAAAACGTATTCTCTCTACGACCATGACTAAATCACTGACTTCATTCATGACTTATGACTTTAGAAAAAAAAACTACGCCCGAACCCACATTCGTTAACACTCTCTTAAGTCTGTGAAAATTAACAAAGTTCAGTTTTTAAATATGCTGAGTAAGCAAGGCGGCTGATTTAAGCAAAGCTAATTTAATTTAAAGTTCATTCAGTATAATCACTTTTATTAAGATATTTAGATATATTTTATCACAATTTAGAAAGAGGATTATCGTTTTAAAAAACCTTTCAAGAAAGAAAACAATGTTTATTTTATTCCATATTATTTTTTTTTATATTGAGAACATTAAATAGAAAATTACACGGAAACAACATGTTCATTTTAAGTAATTAATTAAGAAAATCAGATATCGTTGTTACATGCTTAAAACGCAAATTTGACACTTCCAGATGTAAGACCTACTTTCACTGACCTAAAGCGATAAAATAATGACCTACTAAAATGACCTATGCACTCCTATTTTCCTACACAAGAAAACAAATATCACATTTCATTACATCCAAGTTTGAAATACTTAAAGAAAGACAGAAAATCCAGAATTCTTTTTTTCTATATTCCACTAACGGACGTATGAAGTTCTTTGAGAGAGAGAGAGAGAGAGGTTTAATTGTCCGTGCGAGAATCTCTCACCGCGCGCTTACTCTTAACTCTGGTCTAGGAAGTGCCGAGTGGAAGTGGGGGGGGGGGGGGGGGGGGGGGGGCAGGGAGGGGAAGGGCCTGCCGGGGAGCGTTGGAGGGGACCTGGGGGAGGGGGAGGGTAGACGGTGAAGATGAGTTTTAAAATTATGTTGATTCTAAGCCCAACCGGCACTTGGCTATGCCGCACGTGTGATTGAAGAAGAAGTGGGGGGGGGGGGGGGGGAAGTTAAAATTCCGTGATTGAATGGGTTTGACCTATGGAAGTCTGGCTCAGAAACCTGGGCTCTTTCACGAGAACAGGTATGGGCTAGCGGCAATAGAATGGGGGGGGGGGGGGGAAGGAATTTGGTTCAACATTACGCAGACATGGTGTTAATTACGGCCTACTGGTGGTTTTTTTTTTTCAAATTTTGATAATAAATAAAATAATTTGAACTAACTTTAAAGTCGTCATAAAAATGTCATAATTTGAAAAAGCCTTGAAAATTTTGGTGATTTAAATTAACTTAAAAAATATATTTTAAAGTAGCCTTTAATAGCTGGCAACTTAAGTAGCTTTAAAGTGTGATTTTGTGAAGAAGCATTCAAGAATTTTTTTTTTCTTAATAAAGAGAGCAGTTTTTATTCTTATTAAAGAATTTATCTTGGAACTCCTTAAATAAACATTGCTTAAAACTTAAGAGTATGATACATTTCTGTTAGTATTTTGTTTTCTTGGAAAGACTCGTTGATATTTTTTTAATATAAACATCATCATCTTTTCCCGTTATAGTCCAAGACACACGGGGCGGGTGAAGTAGAGTTTACCAGTTTCAATAACTTCTGCATACAGGGGAATTATGTATTCAGCACTATGCGAGGGTAACTAAGTTTCCCTAACGGTAGTGAGGTACACTCCAGAGCTGGGTAGACCTAGACACGTCATACATGACTTAAGCACAGGATCCGAACTCGAGACTTTCGGGTTAGCAGTCGCGGGCTCAAACATCAGACCACACAGTCCTCCTTTTTATCGGTATGTTATTCTAGAAAGAAAAAAAAATACAAAAATAAAATAAGCCTGATAAGAAGGACAATCCATACTAGAAAGTGATTGATTGTGTTTGTTGACCGTGATATTCTCGATTGAGATTTCGGTAAAGTACATCGAGACTCATCAGCCAGGGGGGTTCGAACTCGGGACATTTCTGGTCAGCAAGCAAGCTCTCTATCGACCCGACCACGCCGAACTCCAGTCACGATATAGTTAAGAGCTAATTTTTTTACATGTTTTCATTAACAAATATTTTGTTACCTATAACTCATAAAATGCCCCCCCCCCCCACCCCCTAATAAAAAACTGCACATTTAAAAATAAATGGCCTATATATTTACGATTTAACGAATTTTGTAATTTTGTAATAATGCAAATAAACTGATTATAGCAGATGTCTTAACTCTAAAAACCTGTCTTTACGTCTTGTAGACATATTTTAAAGACAAAAAATTTCTGATTTTTAAAATAATGTTTGTTTGATATATATATATATATATATATATATATATATATATATATATATATATATATATATATATATATATATGTTGTCTAACATACTTTGTGTAGGTGGGTGTACGAAGTGTACACTCCTATAGACTCTCATATTGGTGTTCATAATTTTTTCCCCGTTCATGGCCCAAAGACACATGGTGCAGATGAAGTAGAGTTTATCTGTATCAGTTACCTCGGAATATATATATGTGGTAATCACTATTCCCAGCCACCTTTTCCCTAACGTGAGTTAGGCACCCACCAGAGCTGGGCAAACTCTAGACGCTTAACTGACTTGAACCAGGAATCAAACTCGAGAATTTCGGCTTAACAGTCTAGTGCTCTACCGCCGTCCCCGTGTATGGTGTTAATAGATTCAAAACCTAAATATGCCGGGTCCCTCCTCAGGCCATCAATGAGCCACTAATGTACAGTACACAACACACCCACCATGTCATGTAGGGTCTCCCTGACGACATGTGTCGGTAAGGTAAGGGGAGGGGTCGGTTTATTGTCCCGGCAATAGATAAAACAGGCATTTCTTTCTTTGATTAAAGGACTAATTAACTACATGGTAATTAGCTGTATCTCTCTACAGCGCGTGGAAAGATAAATATAGGCTGTGCCATTCAGGATTTATATTTGTTTTTTGTACTAGAAGTATTTATACCTACGCGAAAATATATATATATATATATATATATATATATATATATATATATATATATATATTAGGCCTATATATTTATATATATAAGGAGTGCGAGAGAGATAGAACTAGAGAGAGAGTTGCATAGGTATATAGATATAATATATCAAAATATTCTATCTAAACCTAAAAGTAACAACATAATATTCACTTTTGCTGATGTAACAAATATAACAAAATTTAAAAAAACAAACTGATCACAGTCTTCAATAAAAAAAAATCTTTAAAAAAAAAGAAAATCTAAATATCGGAAAACCCATACAAATTACACGTATAATTAGATTAACATTCCCCTCTTTTAAAACGCAATTACGCGCAGCCGTAATAAACAATTAACTTTTTTATTTAATTTTAAAAATTTAAAGAGTTTCCTAGCCGACACTGCTCACCAATGCGCTACAGACACTCAGCGCAGCTACTAAAAATAAATTACCACCTTAGCTAAATGGGTAGGCCAATGCATCGTTACTGCCGGAGTCTTTGGAAATTCTTCAAAATTTGAAATTCTAGGTCCTCAAATCTAATAAACATTCCTTTCATCCTTCACCCCCTCCTCCTGCACCTCTTTCCTTTCTATGCACATTTACACTTGAAAAGAAAATATTCTTGAAAAAAAAAAGAAAAAGAGAGAGAGAGAGTTTCTAAGCTGAACTCCCGCCCAAACCCCCGCAGCAGAAGTGGGGAAGATCGCCGATTGGCTGTCGCTCCGTGGCGCTTAGGTGACGTCATAAATTCAGCAGACGAAATCTTCCTCGCCACGTGAGATGCGACCGTTTACGTTTCACTCACAACAAAGAAATTGTGAGTTTTAAACAAATAAATTTCCCCTCATAGCAAAATAAAAGCGTCTAAATATAGAAGCCGCGCAGCAATATAACTACAAGCAGACAACGTATCAAATTTCAGCTAAATTTAGACTTAATCCTTAGCGGAAATTCCATCTTCTAAAAATAGAAAACAAAAAACTTTTCAATACCTGTTTTTACTTTCTCGTATATACGTAGTATAGAGAAAGTATTGTAATCGTGCAAAAAAAAAATCTAGATTTTTACAAATCTCGACGTTTTACACCTCACTGATACGGAAAAACATAATTTTGCAATCTTGTCCGTATGTCTGTGTGTCTGTGTGTGTGTGTGTGTGTCTGTGTGTGTGTAAACACGATAACTTGAGTACCGTTACAGCTAGGTTGATGAAATTTCATATATAAGTATTTTATCAAAATCGTAGATTCGTATCAACTTTTGAGCGATTTCCGATAACCGGAAGTGGTACTTTTTCTACTTTGAATTTTTCAAAAGCCTATTACTTGATTACTATTTCAGATAGCTAATGAAATTTCACCTGTAAGTAAAAGATCTAATTCTCTACCTTCTGTTAAATTTTGAGTAATTTCCATTGACGGGAAGTACTAATTTACGCTATTTCCGATTTCTCAAAAACGCATCTAAATTTATAAACTACTAATAATATTGCGCACCATTGATGAACATCTTTATTCGGCGTTCGCTTGGTGCGCAATACTTTTTTTCTATGAGATTCTATTCTATTTTAAAAAGTTTAAGTATTTAAAATGGATTAAAAATCATAACTAGATCTATATCCCGAGTTCCCATCCCCTGTTGTTTTATATAAGAATATTCGAGAAAGTTTAGGGGAGATCACTCCCGGTTTATTTAAATTACCAGGCCTGCTTGATTAAATATAAATTTTGATTACATTTCTATCAATGCACCAAAAAAAGGGCTACAGTTTTTTACATCTGCAAAAAGACGAACCAACAACCAAAGCATCCCCTGACACGATCCAGATTCCTCGCCCTACATGCACGGGAGAAGCATATTTTGTGGACAGATTCAATTATTATTCAGCCCACCCCCTCCCCAACCCCACCTGCCATAAAAAATGGTTATGGCGCGGCGCAGTAGTAAGACGACCCACGAATGTACTGCAAGCCTCGAGTTCAGTTTTTTTCATTGAGTCTTTCACGGTTTCTTTGATGGGTGACTAGGGTTTCTTTCAGATATTTATTTTCCATGTGGTGGGTATCTAAAACTACCAGGGGTGGAGTCTGGTTAATGTATGATACTTTCTACTTCAATTACATATTCACTATTTCGTTTAGGGGTGGGGGGGGGGTGGAGCGGTGATAAGTGCCTCTTCCGCCACCCCCCCCCCCCGGTAAGAGGCCTGAAAAAAAAACACTGTAGGTGCCTTCCTGATGTCGATGAAAATGCAGACCACTGAACATGGTTCATAATCTCATCATATAGATTCCTATTTAGACCTAACGATCCATTGTGCAGATGAAGTGGAGTTCATATGTTTCTTGACCTCGGCATAGAAAGGGATAATGTGGTCAGCATTATGCCCAGCCGCCTTTACTTTCCGAAACATGAGTTAGGTACCCATCAGAGTTGGGTGGACTCAGGGACTTTCCACTAACTTGAACCTGGATTCGAACTCGAGAGTTTCGGGCTAGCATTCAATCTAATCATGTGGGTTTATAAATATAATCTTTGATCAGCTTGAAAGTAAATGATTATGTTAATTAACAAACACATCATCCAGCCTTGTCCAAAGCACACCGCTGGCAGGATCAATCAATTATCAAAACAGATCATGTTTTTCAAATCCCCCCTTAGACATAATCTTTTTCTCAAACATAAGCTTCCCCCACCCATCCCCTCGAATTTTTTCTTTTTTTTTTCAAAAGAGTAAAGTTAACAAAATATGTTTAAAC